ATGGGCGCAAGGGCGGGGGGAGAAGGAGAGGGGGCATACCGACCTTGCCCGAGGCATCGCCCAGGGAGACGGACCTCTTTTGGACGCGTGCCGAAACGACACTCGGACTCCAACCTGCTGGCATGCGCGCGGCGTGCCAGAGCAGCTACGGCCTCTGAATGCCAGTGTCGAGCCAGAGTCGCCCTGGGTGGGGATTTCGGGCGCACCTATCTCATGGTTCCCGTACGTCTCCCCTTTCCTGGGCCTTCCTTATTCTCCAAGGTGCGTGCTTAGTCCTCATGCTCGTGCTTTGTGGGAACTGTGAACCTATGCGTGCACAGTGCAAAAGGAGGAGGAGCAGGAGGAGGAGGAGGAACAAGAGGATAGCTGCCACTTGTGACACCTTTCGTGCCTTCACTTCTCGAGGAGCTCCCATGGACCTCATATGAGCCGTCTTGCGGCTGGCCTGGGCTCCTGCGGGGCTGTCTTGGGTGTCCCATGGGGCCGTCTTGGGGCCGTCCTAGACCGTCTTGGGGCTCTCTTGGGCCGTCTGGGGCTATCTTGGCCGTATGAGGGGATGTCTTGGGGCCATGTTGGCGCCGTTTTGGGCCGTCGATGGGGCCTCCTGAGGCCGTAGCAAATCCTTCCGGAAGCCCTATACAGCCAATTCGGGGTTTGGAGGCTTCTCATGCCATCGTGGGGTCTTCGGGGCCATCGTGGGACGTTCATGAGAGATTCTCGAGGCCATCTTGAAGGCGTATTGGGTCATCTTTAGCTGGCGGAAGCCCGAGATGGCGAGAATGCGAACATCCTTCCAAAATCAATGGGGAAACATTCAGTTGTTTTTTGTTCGGGCCCAGTTCGGGGTCCTCTCGTGGCCCTCTTGGGCCGTCTTGGCGGGACCCGGTTCCAAAAACCCTACCAGGCAGCTTTTGGCATCCTGCCGCGCCTTAGCGTGCACAAGTCACGGTGACGCGGATCACGACGTCGGGGGTATGGGGAGGAAGAAAGGGCGAAGTGAAGACGATTCCGTGCCACTGCGGCGGCTGAGGATGGCGCCGCCTCTACGGCCGCTGCCGCTGAGCGGAAGTGGGGGAGGGGAGGGGGAGGAGGAGGGGGAGGAGAAGGACGAGGAGGAGGACGAGGAGGAGGAGGAGGAGGAGGAGGAGGAGCGGAGGAGCAGGAGGACGAGGAGAGGGGACGGAGGAAGATGATGAGGTGGAAGAGGAAGAAGAGGAGGAGGAGGAGGAGGAGAGGGAAAGAGGAGATGGAAGAGGAGGAGGAGGAGGAGGAGGAGGAGGAGGAGGAAGAGGAGGAGGAGGAGGGAGGAGGAGGAGGAGGAGAAGGAGGAGGAGGAGGAGGAGGAGGACATGAAATAGGAGCAGGAACAGGAGGAGGAGGAGGAGGAGGAGGAGGACAAGGAAGATGATTCGAAGGAGGCGGACACCAACGCCCCCACACACACACACACACACACACACACACACACACACACACACACACACACACATACACACATTTCTTCCCAATGTCGCTCCATCTGTCATGACTGGGCGATCGCGTAAGATCCTCGTCGGAAGGCGTAATGTCCCGTGCCTGAAAAGAGGGCGAAAGGAGGCTGATGTTGAAACACCGGCCCACATCGACGTCTCGGGTCAGGGTCGCACCGCAATGGTCGGCCTAAAGCCGCAGTAGGAGGAATGGAGGAGGAGAGGGAGGAGGAGGAGGAGGAGGAGGAAGAGGCAGAGGACGAGGAGGAGGAGGAAAGAGAAGAAGATGAAGCAAACAAGGGGGGAGGAGTAGGAGGAGGAGGAGGAGGAGGAGGAGGAGGAGGAGAGGCGAGGAGGAGGAGGAGGAGGAGGAGACACAGGATTCTAGGAGTCTAGGTTGGCATCGCGCGCGTCCCAAAAGGGCGCGATGTCCAGGCACATAGAGAGAAAAGGCAGCCACCGACACGACGGCGACGAATAACGGCGAGAATGTGGACGAAAGACAAATGAGCGCAGCGACGACAGATGACGACAGCGACGCCGTCGTTTGGCTGCTGCCGCCACCGCCGTCACGGCGGTGGCGGCAGCAGCCAAACGAGCGAGTCGATTAGCCGCCAGCACTTGTGGTACAGCTCACGAGGAGGGAGAGGAGGAGGAGGAGAGAGGAGGAGGGACGGAGGAGGAGGAGGAGGGAGAGGAGGAGGAGGAGGAGGAGAGGAGGAGGAAGAGGAGGAGGAGGAGGAGGAGGAAGAGGAGGAGGAGGAAGGGGAGGAGAGGCAGCAGAAGCAGCAGAAGGAGGAGGCCGCTGTTCCTGCCAGTGGAGGTGCAGACGAGGTCGGCGGGTATGGACCACCAGCCATCCAGGAGACGACAGGCGAGGCCACCGGAGGCTGGGCCCCCTGGAGAGGGCAGACGGAGGTCGGAGCGAGCGTTCTCCTCCTCCTCCTTCTCATCCTCCTCCTCCTTCTCCTCTTTCTCCTCCTCCTCTCTCCTACTCCCTCCTCCTCCTCTCTCCTCCTCCACCTCCTCCT